CCGCAGAGCAGCCCCGCAGCTGTCCTAGGGACCGTGGAGCAGATGGGAGGAGGAGGCCGGAGGCTGCTTCCTTCGTGACACGTTCACAGAAAGGAGGGGAGCCCGTTCTCGCCGCTAAAATTCGTCCGTCAGCATTTCGGTTTTAAACTCGAAACCTTCCTCGGCCTTTCTGCCATATGCAGGGCGAACACAGGCCTGAGCTCCTGCCCTCGGGAGCTGGGATTTGCGCAGTGAAACAGGGAGGCTGCACCAACGAGGACGGCATGCAATGCTCCTCACTTTTTTTTAAATAAAAGTTTTTCTACCTTAGTAAAGTGTGTGTGTGTAAATTTTACTAAGATAGAAAAACCTGTTTTAAAAAAAAGTGAGGCGCATTGCATGCCATCCTCGTTCATGCAGCCTCCCTATTTCACTTGTTGTATATTCAGCTGTCTAGTTGTATCCTGTACATAGGCCACGCATAGGAGGGACAGGGGAGGGCACGTGCCCCCCTAAGATTAGCTGCCACCAACAGTGCGGCCAGTGTCTGCAGGTGGTGGCCGCCTCCCCGCCGTCCGTAACTGCCTGGGGGTGGTCCCCACTCGGCCCACCCTCACTGCCAACATCACCATGTCTGCTTGCGCGCAGTCCCCACCTGCCGCCGCCACACCACCACTTGCAGGCAGTCACCATGCTCCCCATCCTCAGGAGGCACGAGTCATTCATGATCCTATACAGCTGTGGGACTCTGCAAATCAAGCTCACACCAGAGTACCAGATGCAGACGATACTGACCCTCCACTGTGAGGGAATTAAGAACATCCCCTAAAAACATTTGTGTGATCAAGATTTCAGGCTTCATCCCCTCCCTACAGACTAATTTTTTGGACTATTTGACCTCTAAAGCATGAAGGTACAATCTGGCTCCATATTGGTTAGCAGATTGGAGCTGGCATTGGGGTTGTGTGTCATTATGTAGGTGGCAAGAAGTACAATTTTACGTCACACAGCCCAAGCTGGTTAAGGATGCCAGGATTTATATGGCTAATTCTCCATACAGAATTAGGAACCAAGGCGAAGGCAAACTTATTCACAATAAGTAGAGGAAGAGGGACTCCCTCCCCCACACAAAGCCTTTCGATAAGGTATTCTTTTCTTGATTAGTTTTCCAAGGGAAGCTTCCAAGTCTGCCACTTGATTTAAATCCTTCATGAACAAAACAAATCAGGCTCCAATCAATCTTTTCTACAGCCGCTTTGTGTGGTTCCCTGGCACAGTGTGTAATGATTTGATAGCACTAAAATCTGCTCAAAGATTCTGAAAGAATCATAGAAAGTTAGGGTTGGAAGGGACCACAGGAGATCAACTAGTTCAACCCCCTGCTCAAAGGAGGACCCCCCCCAACCAGATCCTCCCAGCCAAAGCTTTGTCAAGCCTGGTGTTTAAAACTACCAAGGATGGAGCTTCCACCACCTCTCTGTAAAACTTGCTCCAGTGTTTTATTACCCTCCTAGTGAGAAAATTCTTCCTAATATCTAACATAACTTCCCTTGCTGCAACTTAAGATTGTTGCTCCTTGATCTGTCATCTGCCACCACTGAGAACAGTCTAGCTCCATCCTCTTTCAAACCCCACTTCAGGTAGTTGAAGGCTGTTATTAAATCCCCTCTCAGTCTTCTCTTCTCTAAGGCTAAAAAAGCTCAGTTCTCTCAGCCTCTCCTCATAAATCCTGTCCTCCAGCCCCCTCACATTTTTGTTGCACTCCACTGGACTCTCTCCAATTTGTCCACATCCTTTCTGTAATAGGGGCCCCAAAACTGAACACAGTACTCCAGCTGTAGCCTCACCACTGCTGAATAAAGGGGAATAATCATTTCCCTTAACCTGCTGGCAACACACCTACCAATGCAGCCCGGTATGCCATTAGCCTTCTTGGCAACAAGGGCACAGTGCTGGGTCATATTCAACTTCTTGTCCATTGTAACACCCAGGTCCTTTTCTGAAGAGCTGCTGCCCAACCAGTCAACCCCCAGCCTGTACTGGTACATGGGATTGGTCCCTCCCAAGTACAGGACTTTTCACTTGTCCTTGTTGAACCTCATGAGATTTCTTTTGGCCCAATCCTCTAATTTGTCTAGGTCACACATCCCCTCCCCCCTGGCCCTACTGGTGTCCCTCAGTCCTCCCACAACAACCTCCCAGCCCTACATATGCAGGCTCAGACACCCAGGCAGGTAAGTGTGTGAGAGGAGAAAGGGGAGGGGTGAGGCAGGGGAAAGGGAAGGGGCTGCAGGATGCAGATCGAGTGTGTCTATCTGCTCCCAGCAGGGCCAGGGGTGCAAGGGCAGCGGTGCCCCTCTGTAGGCCACACACACACTGTCCGGCCAGACCAGGGGGCAGGGGGGAGGGAGGGTTAGCACACAGCGGCCACCCCTGCCACCACCACTACTGCCGCGCTGCTTTGCCGTGAAAAATACCAAATTATATTCTAAAAATAAAACGTCTACTACAACATTCATTAATTTGATTTCAAAAAATATTTTTTCCTGAGTTGCCTGCATTTTTGTTGTGTACAGAGGTGATTGCACAATAGCTCACAATGAAGTCTTACTCCTGTATATTGTGGGGGGTGGGTATAAGTTGGTGGGGGGCTGTGGATGTGTGGGTATGTGAGGTGTGAGGGAAGGTGTGGGGGGATGCAGGAGCATGACGGGGTGTGAGTGCAGGTTTATGGTGGGATGTGCATGTGGGACTTGCTGTATGAACACACACACACACTTTCACCACTTTCCTGCCCACCACAGGGCTCCAGCACCACATGGTTCCTGGCTGCATGGCCACGACTACAGGACTCAACAGGAACCCGTCAGGCCTAGCCCCGAGGACTCGTGCGATTGCCTGCAGTCCTCCCCTGCCTCCTGCCTCCTCCCCTCTCCCCTTCTTATCTGAATTTCCCTCTTGGGTGGAAGGAAGTGGGAACAGCCCAAGGGTTCCAGGCCAGAAGCCTCTGCTAGGCATGGGCTTCAGGGGGGGGGGGGGGGCGGGGGCAACCTGTAATATCCAATCAATGGAACCCTAACTGAGGAAATATCAGATTTCATCAAATCCATCCTAAAATCTTTAGTCACCTAAAGAGCAGCTTTTCCAAGACTCAGACTTTCTATGAAAACTTTAAAACATAAACCATTTTCCCAGCCATACTCTCCTAACCACCATCGATATTACCAGCTTATATACCAACATCCCACACTGGCTTGGCATCCACATATCTACAAGAGCAAAATTACAACTCTGAGTTCAGATCTAAAGATACTACCCAACTTGTACACTTCAACCTTACAAACTCAAGTTCAATAACAAACACTTCCTCCAGACCATGGGTACTAGAGATGCACTGATACGTTGGGCCCCCATCGGTTCGGCACCAATATAAAGAAAACTGACAGTATTGGCAATCAGCTTTTTTGGAAGAAAACGTTGCCAATAAATGCCCTATGCATGCATGCAGCCACAGTGCAGCACACAGGTGGCCAGGAGCACAGCCCAGCAGTGTGGAGTAGCAGGCTCTGGCTGGTAAGTCTGTTGTGAGGGAAGGGGTGTGAGGGGGGCGGGGGGCAGATCAAGGCCCCCACAGTGAGGGATGGAGTGGGGCTGGGGTAGGAGCAGGTGCTGCACAGCCAGGGCATCGG